ATTGTTTTACTTTGTGTTAGCTTTCAACTTGTTCATGTGTAGATATATGAAATTATATGATTTTAATTAGGTATGATAGTGTTTGATGGTCGATAATGGTTTGTATAGATATATGATATATGTTTTGTCATTATTTGTAATCTTTTGTGATTGGATATGATGGTTTTTGAAATAAGTTTTGTTATTTGTTTGTTTTAATCTTTTGCAATTGGTTTTGTTTTCGAATTCATTGTCAATTTTCTATAGTGCATTCTAGTAATGATCTAATGATTATTGATGATTTTTTTTTGTATTATTTCTTGATATATATATTTTAAGTTGTCTAAATGTTAAATCAAAGAGGGATCTGAAACGAAACTGAAAACATAAACAATAGTTGCATGTCGACGATTTAGAAGATACTTATGACAGTTTTTGGTCAAAATGTGAAAATCATTGATCATAGTTCATAGTCTATACTCTAAGAAACTGATTAATAGCTTCATTTGCAAGCAACTGCTCACTTCAAAGTTTCATTATTTGTGGTTTATCTTTGCACAAACTTTTTTCATCTTTCATTGCAAGAATTTTGTGTATTTAGCTGCCTAAATTCGAAAACGTAAACACTGTAGACTTTAAAACTTGATAAATGATAGAAGAAATTATAGTAAATTGGTTAAGTGAGGTGGCAAGATTATATAAATAAATAAAGAAATAACACTTTAAAATTTGTAACAAGTGGTAATGTATATGATGAAGTTTAGTTTTATGTGCGTGTTCCAGTTTGGTTATCTCTAAAAATGAGAAAATGTATATCTCTCAAACATACATCAAATTGGTGAATTTTGATAAGACAAAGATGTATATATTAGGTCTTCATATTTTGATGAACTTGTGATTTTACTAATCAAACAAATGAAAATATGAAGATGAGTGTGTCTTTAGATTATTGTATAACATAGATTATGTATTCTAAGTTTCTTAAGTGTATTTTAGTTAAATTATTATTATTTTCGTCAATATGTGAAAGATTCAATTTTAACCTTTCCTGAACAATTTTCAGATTGTTGTTTGAACAAGGAAAGCTAAATTCCTCCACACTCTGATTGATTCCGATCTCATGACTTCCTCATATATTCATTAATGATATGTTGCTACCTTTTCTTCTATAAATAGAAAAATGTGCATACGTTATTTTGTCATTTGTGATTATTGTTTGGAATTTCATTGTCTTGATCCGGTGTACTTTATCTTCAGAAAATATATTAAAAACTAATCTGTTATTCCCCTTAATATAATTCAACTCATTATTATCTCATTAGTATATTTTTTTTTGTTAATCCCATCTAGTATATTATATTAAGTTATAATTTATTTTAAATCCAAATGTTCAAAATTTTAAGACATTGAAAAAACTACAAAGGTCAAAAATCTTTTAAATTTATGTTGTAACCTAAATTCATTATTCACCGATTTCTTATATGATTCTCATCTACGAGTTTTTCAAATCATCTTTCCAATGTTTTTTAATTCACAAGCGAGACTTATTTTTGTATTAATCCTTTATTTCTCCTTAATCTATCATGTACTCACTTAATCTTCTTTTATTTTTCTTATTGGCTAATTGTTATTGATTTTTTTTCTTTCATTATATTTTCTCCTTCAGTGAAAATATGAATTGCGCATCGGTGAAAATCTATTTTCCTTGTCAATGATGACCAATACCCTCTTTCATATTCTCATATTCTTCTTTGTCCACCACCAATCATCCTTGTCAAAGACTCATGTTTAGGATTTCAAATATCTTTGTTGTTTTACTTTGTGTTAGCTTTCGACTTATTCATGTGTAGCTATATAAAATTGTATGATTATAATGTACTGATTTTGGGAAGACTCTTAACTCACCAAACATTCCCAATGTCTTGGATTTTCAACAGTCTGGGCACAAGGAAACATACATTAACAATAAGTTAAAGCTTATAGAACCTATAATCCGCCCCTTCCTATAAGATTCTATACATTATGAATTTATACATATAACAATTTGTAATCTGCTGGAAAGAGTTTATACATAAAGGTAACAATTTGTAATTTCCCCCTTATAACTTTTTATCTTTCTTATTTGGGCAATAGGATCAGGAGAAGCTGGTAATCCTGGAGATGCTTAGCTATGGTGGAGTGGAGAAGCTGGTAATTCTGGAGATGCTTATGTGTGGGGGAGTGCATCGGGAGGTTGCTAGCTCCAGCAGGTTTGTTGGTAGTAAAGGTCGCCTAGTTGGTGAAGACAGATTCATTGAGGTAGGGGGATCTAGTGGCTGTTCCAAAGCTATTACTAACGGGGAAAGCAATGTAGAGGTGTTTATCGACTATCAGACAGTGGAGTTTCCAAATGCTCATTGGGTTATAATTTTTCTAATGTTTCTTAATTTATCTACGAGACTTATTTTCGTCGTCTCAATCCTTTATTCCTTCTTTATCTATCATGTATTGACTTTCTTCTTCTTTTCTTTTTCTCATTGGCTACATGTTATCAATTTTTTTCTTTCATTACATTTTCTCCATCAGTGAAAATCTGAATTGCGCATCGGTGAAAATCTATTTTCCTTGTCAATAATGACCAATACCTCTTTCATATTCTCATATTCTTCTTTGTCCACCACCATTCATCATTTTCAAAGACTCATGTTTAGGATTTGAAATATCTTTGTTGTTTTACTTTGTGTTAGCTTTAGAATTATTCATGTGTAGATATATAAAATTTTATGATTATGATTAGGTATGATAGTGATTGATGGTCGATGATAAATTTTGTTTATTATCCATTTGAGTATTTAGTGTTGTTGCGATTGGGTTTAATGGTTTGTGTAAATATATGATATAAGTTTTGTCGTTTGTTGTAATCTTTTGTGATTAGGTATGATGGTTTTTGTTCCGGTTGGTTTTGATTGTTTGTGTATATTTATGAAGTAGGTGTTGTTATTTGTTTGTTTTAGTCTTTTGAGATTGGTTTTGTTTGTGATTTCATTGTCAATTTTCTATAGTGCATTCTAGTAATGATCTAATGATTATTGATGATATTTTTGTCTTCTTGTTTATTGGTATATATTTTAAGTTTTCTAAATATCTAATCAAAAAGGAAACTAAAACGAAACTGAAAAGATAAACAATAGTTGCATGTTGAGGATTTTGAAGATAGTTATGATAGTTTTTGGGCAAAATGTGAAATCAATGATCATAGTTCATAATCTATACTCTGAGAAACTGATTCACATCTTCATTTGCAAGCAACTACTCACTTCAAAGTTACACTATTTGTGGTTTTGCATGAACCTTTTTCATTTTCCTATGCAAATATTTTGTGTGTTTAGTGGCCCCAATTTTGAAAATGTAAACAACGTAAAATTTAAAGCTTGATGAATGCTAGAAGATTTTATAGTAAGTTGGTTAAGTGAGGTGGCGAGATAAGTATAAATAAATAAAGAAATAAAACTTTAATTTTGTAACAAGTGGTAATGTATGGATATGATGAGGTTTAGTTTTATATGCATGTTCCAGTTTGGTTATCGCTAAAAATGAGAAAATATATATACATCTTTATCTTATGAATTTTGACAAGATAAAGATGTATATATGAGGTCTTCATATTTCGATGAACTTGTGACTTTACTAATAAAAACGAATTAAAATCATGAAGATGAGTGTGTTTTTAGATTATTGCATAACATAGATTATGTGTTCTAAGTTTCATAACTGTATTTTAGTTTTTTTTTTGTCAAACGTAAGTGTATTTTAGTTAATTAGTATTATTTTTGTCAATATGAGATAGGTTCAATTTTAACCTTTACAAAACAATTTTCAAATTTTTATTTGAACAAAGAAAGCTAAATTCGTCCAGACTCTGATTGATTCCAATCTCATGACTTCCTCGGCTATTCGTTAACGATATGTTGTTACCTTTTCTTCTATAAATAGAAAATGTGTATACGTTATTTTTTCATTTATGATTATTGTTTGGAATTTCATAGTTTTGATCTGGTGTATTTTGGATAATAGTCTCACATATTTATTTTAATTATTGAATGAGAAGGTCATTACCACTTTAGACAATGTTTAATAAATTCATGTTCGTCTCATAATGAAGAGACAAATATTATGTTTTTCTTGTAGCTTTTTAAAGTACATCTGAGTAGCTAACTCGTGAGTAACCACAAGCAGTTTAGTTTAAGACGTTGGAAGATGGAAATAGCCATTGGTTACTCTTGGATTTTTTTGTGTTGCAGCCTGACCAGCAAAGGATTGATAAAATGTATATGTTTCCCGAGGCAAACGTCGTCATTTGCTCAACGATTCCACCTCTTGGTGTTGTGAGAGAAAGAAAGTATTTGATGTACTTTTTGCACTATGAAAGGGTTCTGTTAAGGAAATGTTGGACGAAAAAAACTCTCAGAGTCCTAGACCCTTGGAAAGGAGTATCACTGATTTTTCGTTGCTCCAACTACTATATGAGAACTTGTAGGAACTTTAAGGCTACTGTGGCGAATGACCTGACTTAGCGAGATCGTACCTGAAATCATATGGAGCTCCCATAATGGTATGGTGTGTAACATATCCGCAGCTTTTCTCTAGAACTTCCACCAAATGTGTCATGTAAGATGTGGCATCTCTGCAGCAAATGACACATTACTGTTACATTTACATATTAATCTTTTAGGATTCATATGTACTAAAGTATATGATTCATATACCATACAACAATTGCAGCAAATTGCAAAATTATCATCAACTTACAATTTTCTAGTTTTACTTTGGATGGGCAAACAGATTTGATAGTTTAATGATATGATACATTAATGGTGGTTGATATGGTGATACCGAAGCCACTTTCTCATTTGGAGGCTCTCAAAATATTTCGTAAGACAAAAATACCCTTACCTTATTCTTTGGCGTGGCATTTGAAAACGTAAATTAACTTGTACCCAACTTTATGCCTCCAAGTCTCTTAACCCGAGCGCTTTTAAACTAAAAAACCTCGAAAACCCTAAAACGGCGCCTATTTGCTTTCAGTATTTTTCTGTGAGAGAGAAGATAACTTGGCCTCCTCAGTCGCCGCCATGTTTGAGTACCGTTGTAGCTCCATCGATTGGAAGCCATCTCCAATCGTAGCTCTCGCTACCAGCCCCGACGGTTCTCAAGTCGCCGCAGCTCGCGAAGACGGTTCTCTCGAGCTCTGGCTCGTTTCTCCCGGTGCTGTCTCCTGGCACTGTCAACTCGTACGCCGCTCTTATCCTTCTCTTCCGATTAACAACTCTTCTAGTAGATAAGATTCGTTAATTTGTGTGTGTTTTTGGTTTCTTTCTTAATTGAGTTTAGAGTATCCATGGAGATCCGAAATCAAGAATCTCGTGCCTTGTTTGGATTGGTGTTGGATCTAAAGGCTCCTCTAGGTTACTTTCGTCTAGCATAGATGGGACAGTTTCAGAGTGGGATCTTTTTGACTTGAAGCAGAAGGTGAATTTCACTGAACTTTAACTTCTACCTTCTTTTTTTTTCGTTTTTTTTTTTGCTTTTATTAATTGTATTATTACTCTGATTGTGCAGGTTGTTTTAGAGTCAATTGGAGTATCAATCTGGCAAATGTCTGTGGCTCCTCTCTCCATTAAAGCAGGAGGTAAAGGATCTGAGCTGATTCAGGATGGATACTTGAGTGAGAAATCAGATGACGAGGAAGAAAGTGAAACAGAAGATGAGCTTTGCGAGAAATCAGAGGTCTCTGATAGGCATCTTGCAGCTGCCTGTGATGATGGCTGCGTGAGGATTTATTCTGTCTCTGAATCAGACAGGTTAACTTACTATAGATCGTTGCCTCGGGTCAGTGGTGAGACTTCTTCACTCCCTTTACTATACCATCATTTGATTCTTCATTATTGTTATCTGCTTAGAGCTTTATGAAATATTATCTTGGTAGGGCGTGCGTTAAGTGTGACGTGGAGTTTGGACGGACAGAGAATCTTTTCTGGCAGTAGTGATGGGTAAGGGTATTTTTATTTTACTTTGTATGCATATTTACTTGGAAAGAAGGTCACTTGAATGTTTTTTCATTTGTCTAAAGTAAAAAATTATTTGTAGGTTGATAAGATGCTGGGATGCTAACCTCTGCCATGAGGTATATAGAATTACAGTTGGACTTGGAGGTCTGGGAAATGGATCCGAGCTTTGCATTTGGTCACTTCTTGCGTTGAGGTAAACATTATTACCTCTTATGTTGGTTTTGTGTTTTTCTTATCCTTTTGCTAATGATCTACATTTTATTCTAGATGTGGAGTTCTTGTCAGCGGAGATAGTACAGGAACTGTCCAGTTTTGGGATAGCCAGCATGGAACTCTCTTGCAGGCGCATTCTAATCATAAGGGTGATGTCAATGCTCTTGCGCAAGCCCCAACTCATGACCGCGTGTTTTCTACCGGTGCCGATGGACAGGTAAATGATACCGCTGGTGTTCTCTCCCATGTGAATTTCAGTTAACAACTGATGTATATTAAATACTGGATTCCCTTTGACGAGACATGGGACTTAACTAAAGTAGAAACTTATGGTTTGACCAGTTGCAAGGTTTTGACTTTCTAATACTCTGTTCATCTATTTGTAGGTTATCCTATATAAGCTCGCTGGTAGTGCATTTGAATCACAAGATTTGAAACCTTCTTCCACCAAGAAGTGGGATTATATTGGTTGTGTAAGGGCTCATACGCATGACATCAGAGCTCTAACCGTGGCAGTGCCAATAAGTTCTGAAGGTCAGTAGCTTCTTGAGTTTTTCTCATTTTTAAATTTTCCAGTAAAATTGGCAATTAAAATTCATGTTAGGATGTGTTAGAGTTGAAGGATCACAGACACAGAGAAAACTCAAAGCTTTCAATAGAACTCATATGTGAACAATCACATCATATGAGCACCTGTATCTAGTTCTTTCTGTTATTTTGTGATTGTTAAACTTCCTCCTGTTGCAGGCACCTTTCCAGACAGTTATGCAAAGAGAAAAAGTCGTAAACAGCGCAAGACGGACAAGCCGAGTGGTTTCAGTTACCATAAATGGGCACACTTAGGGGTTCCAATGCTCATTTCAGCTGGTGATGATGCAAAGCTTTTTGCATACTCGGTTCAAGAGTTCACTAAGTTCCCTCCACATGATATATGTCCTGCACCTCAGAGAGTACCTATGCAGATGGTACATAACACAGTGTTCAATCAGACTTCTCTTCTCATGGTTCAGGAATCTTGTTCTATAGATATTCTTCGTATTAACATAAGCAGTGATTCTAGTGGGCGTGTCTCCACCAAGCCATTAGTTCGTGTTAAAAGTAAAGATGCCCGGAAGATCATATGCAGTGCAATTTCTAACACAGGATCACTTTTTGCGTATTCTGACCAAATTCGTCCAAGCCTGTTTGAGCTGGAGAAAAAGAAACTTGGAAAGAATCCATGGAGTCCCAACAGAAAGCGACTTCCCAACCTGCCGTTTGCTCATTCCATGGTCTTCAGCTGTGACAGCTCTCGGCTGATAATAGCTGGGCATGATAGAAGGATATATGTATGTGCCGATTTTTTTTTTTTGTTGCTAATTTTACTTTGACTTTCTTGACCTTATCAAACATCTGAACTGTACTTTGTTGGCAGACTGTTGACATTGATAGCATGGAGCTATTAGATACTCTTATTCCACGTCAGGAAGGGCAGTATAATGAATCTCCTCCTCGTGAGGCTCCAATTACAAAACTGTATACTAGCTCAGATGATCAGTGGCTAGCTGCTATCAATTGCTTTGGCGACATATATGTGTTCAACCTGGAAACACAGAGGTGAACATTTTGTGAACCCTATCTGCTTACAATTGTGTAGTAAGACTTGTTTACAATATATATCTTCAGAGGATTACGAATATATGATTTTGGCTTGCATATTTCCAAGCAGCTGCTTGTAATTTTTTTTTCTCATTCAAGCTTTGGTACTGATTACAGGCAGCATTGGTTCATATCAAGGCTCGATGGTGCATCTGTTGCAGCCGCTGGTTTTCATCCAAGAGACAATAACATGCTTGTGATCTCGACCTCGTCAAACCAGGTCTTTGCATTGGACGTGGAGGCTAGAGAGTTGGGCAAGTGGTCATTGCTACATACTTTTCATTTGCCTAAGAGTTTCCAAGAATTCCCTGGTGAGGTCGTAGGGCTCTCGTTCTCTCCATCACCAAGCTCATCATCTGTAATCATTTACAGCTCCAGGTACTTCAAATTTATCACTAATGACAACTTGCACTACAATATTAAAAGCAAGCCGTTCTAATCGTGACCCTTGAATTATTTTTTGCAAAACAGAGCAAAGTGTTTGATCGAGTTTGGGAAGCCGACAGAACAAGGCGAAGAGATGGATTTGACATACGGCAGTAACCTGTCTGAAAAGATGGAAGGTAGAATTGCGAGCATTGGTTTGGAGAAACTGGGACATGTGAACCGAAAACGTAGATTCGAGGAATATAAAAAAGTGAGCAAGAGTAAGGAGATTGAAATGGGAACGTGGAAGCACCCGGTTCTATATCTAAGACACTTATCAAAAAGTGCAACATTGGTGGTAGAGAAACCATGGATGGAAGTCATCAAGGGTTTAGATTCACAGCCAGTTCACAGACATATATTCGGGACATAAGGCCAGCACGAAGGAGAGAAAGAAGAAAGCTCTTTCTCTGAATAGAGTTTCCATTTCAATTTTTGAAGCTTAACGCATTAGAGAAGTATATTTGCTTTCTATAAGTGATAGAGGAGTAAGAAGTATATTTGCTTTCTATATGTTGTGCAATATTTTATGCTTCGAAGAATTTTGGAAGAGCCTCTCAGTTAGTCTGTTTTTGGTTTTGTTGTTTATGCGTTTATTTTTTTTTATTTTTAGCTTGTTCTGCTAGTCACTCGTTGGATGCTGAGTTTTTCAAACTCATACTTTTATTACATATTAAGATTTTTTTTGTCCTCTTATATTAACTTTGAGTTGCCTCTAATATGGGACGGCTCATTCCAACGTAATTAACAATACTTGGAGTCAAGATTAGTCGACAAACTAGCGATGAGAAGAAGCGATTTGTGAATACCGAATAAAATCATCTTTTCTTTTCTATCGCTTTCCTTCCTTGAGTCAAATCCCATTTCATAAGGTTATTTTATCTAGAATTTAAGGAAGGATCCGTTACCATAAAATATGGTGGATATGGGACCAATTAACAAATCTAGCAATCATCACAAAAGATAAAAATCTTTAACATGCATGGAGCGTTAAACTCCACAAACAAAACGTAACACCTTTTTCTTATAACGGATTCCAACCCTTTTCCCCCTGAATTCAGAATCAAGAAAGTAAAAAAAAAGAAGAAGAGAGATAAGCAAAACCACCACGAAAACGGAAAGCTTTGTATGTATGTGTCGACCAAACATACGATGTTAAACGGCAAAGCCAGAATCTCAAGAAAAGAGCCATTAAGACACGTACGAGAAAAGAAGCCCCCAGACGTCAACTAAAAAATCCCCACGTGTACTCTCCTTCTCTCCCACCGTTGCATGGTTCAGACACACGCTGCAACTGCCTCGTGTTCCTCCCCAACAACCAATCACTAACACACACAACATCTCCAACAACCAAAGACGCCAATAACGCCTAACACTTTTTAAAAAAGAACCTCGAATATACATTGCATGTAGTTAAAAAAAAATTACTTAAAATTTTTTGAAACAAACAGCAAATGGTGATAGGTGTAGGCACGCATGACGTCCAGCAGCAACACGCGTTGCGGTGACAAGCACTGTGATTGGTGAACCGAACCATATCTCCTAGTAAAAACGGCACATTAAACTTTGTTCTACACACGTGTCCCTATCCCCAAGCCTCACTAACACGTACCCATCCTTTTCTCTCCAAATGTCTCTCTTCCTTAATATTCGCCTCTCTCTTATTGGCTCTTCACTCTCCTTATTATAACCTCACCTCTCGTCACCTTCTCTTTGATCTCTCAACATCCATCTCTCTTCCTTCTTCTTCTCTTCCTGTGGTTTTGAGTTTTGTTTTCACTTTAGTTTTATAACCATGATAAAGATACTCACCCCTCATAACTCTCACTCCACCACCACCACCACAACTCTTAAAACAGCTGAGATCCTGTCTAAATACAGACCTATTGCTCCTAAGCCAGGGACAACGACCCAAGTAAACGATAATGACTCTTCTTCTTCCTCTATGTCTCACAAGATCAACCAATCTCCTTACCTACGTAACCTCTGGCCTCAGCTTCAAGCTCGTCCTACTAGAACCCGTAAGCGAGGCCGAGGCGGCATGGGTCCAACCTCTCCTCTTTCGTTGAAGAGACACAAGCCGCCGTCATCAGCTGCTTCCACCACTACTACTCCACAACGTGTCTTTGGTCCTATTAAAACGCTTTCCTTTCAGGCTTTCACTCATGCTGGCTTACCTAACCTGGCCCAAGTTGGGTACGCGTTGGAGAATGGTGGTGGCTCTCCTGCTTTGGTGACTCTGCCTCTTCTTCAATGCTCTCCTTCTCCTCCTTCCAAATGCATGGAACCAGAGATCAAAGAAGTCATTGATCTGAACAAGACCGCGGAAGTGATAGAGAGAGATTTCTTGAAGCAACTTCAAGAACCCCTCACCACAACAACAACAACCACAACCAGAGTGATATCACCGCAGGCCATAAGACCAGTTTGCTCAAGGATCAACGTAGCATGCATAAATCCACTAACAAACCCATCTCACATCATCAAGAAGTCACCACAAGATGTTGAAGAGGAGTTTGAATCCGATGACGTCCCAGCCATAATCTCTGATGCCAACAACAGAGTCAGGCTCGTGAACTCGGCATACAAGGAAATGATGGGGCAGCCTGAGTGCTCGTGGCTAGACTCAATGGTTAGAGGGAAGAGGATCTGTGGAGAAGTGATGATCCATCTATGTGAAGCCAAGATTCCGGAGAACAATAATGGGTTCTCTTGCTGGGTGAGGATAGAGTGGGGAAGAGATGGTAAGGAGGAGTTTGTGCATGCCTTTTGTGATGTGATGAAACTTGAGTGTGATTCCAAAGATTATGTCTTTACGTGGAGGTTTCACACAACCGCAAGAGAAACTTGTCGATCAAGCTGCCATGCTTAGTTTAGGGTTTTTGGAGTATTATGTGTTGTTGTTCCTTTGTAGTGGTTTAGTATATAATGAACTGGGGTAATGATATAATATAATATATAGTTAAATATGTAAATCTCGGTTAGTGATAGTTTCTGCTGTTATAATACACTATGAAGAACAACATATGTTTAAGAATGGCTTCTCTCGTGACAAAACATAACTTTTGAAATTAAATTCATGGCTCACAGACTTATGTAACTGATAATTACATTAACATGCAACAAACCATAGCATGCCAACTTTATTTATCAAAAATTTATCATCAAGAATCTGCCACTATGCAATCTTTGCTTAGAGACTAAAGAATGTTTCTGTTACTTGGTTTTACTTATAGCTCTGCCTATGCAACTTATCTTGCAACTCAAATGAAACTCTGTACCGGAGCTGTGGAGCTGACAGCTCTAGTTCATAGGCAGCTTGCTGTGAGCCTGTGACAAGACTTGCATGTTAACAATCAAAAAAATCTTAGCGGTTGCAAGTGATGAGTCAAATTTATCATAATATCTTCTTCAGACACAATGTTGGGCACGTGGTCTGAATCTATCGACAGATATATGAAGATGGATATTAAAGCCTCTTCATGAAGTTATTTAGCTTCGAGGGACAAACCTTAGCCAGCCATAGAAGCAAACGTATGGAGTTTGTTATTATCAACAAGAGGCAAATTAATGAAACGTCAAAACCTTCCAGAGTCCAGATATTTCCTCAATACCTGTTACATTAATTGTAGCCTCTGGGAGAATAAAAGCAGATGGATGTTGCCATTTCCAGACATGTTTCTGCATGTCTTCAATGCCTGCTTAAGTTGTTCTTGAGCACAGCTTTCAACTTCGGAAGTTCTAACTTTCCGCTGTTAGCAGCTCTTCCATTAATTGTAAAGCCCAGAATAGATTCAACATCCTTGAGCCGTTTATCTGCTGAAAGAGCAATAGCTATATGTTCCCATCCTCTGGTTGAATCTCATCTTTGATATTGCATTCTCAACGGTCAAGTTGTATACAGCATCTTTATTGCAGCTTTATTCAGAGATAAAAGGACATTATTCTGAAGGAAAAATCCGTTCACAGAGTCTAATCTGGAGGTTTCTCGCGGCGTTTCCATAGCATACACCAAGGGAACCTGCGAGCTTGAGAAATTATGCCTTCCACTGAGTGTTTTGGATCTTCAGTTCATAGCTTTGCTACAAACAATAGCCAAGATGTGTGTGTGGTACCTGTCTTTTGATTCAGAAGGCCCTAGGGACATCTTTACTAGATTGATTGCAGCTTTATCGATCTCTTCAGCACTGTAACATAGGTACAGAAGGTAGGTAACATAGGGATAGTAACACAATTGCTTCCTCTACTTTTCTTCAAAGATTCATATAAAACAGAAAAGTGAAGCCAAACCATGGGATTAAATAAACGAAACTAGACACCATCCTTTTGCTCATGTTTCTTGTCTGAGACAATTATGATAAAGTTGAAAACAACAAAGGATCAAAATCCCAAAAGCAATACAATGGAAACTAACATGTTTGGATATTATCCAATAATAATAAACCCATTATGTCCTTCAGGGTTTAAGCAGCATCGGAGGTTACAAGAATAAATAGTGGCGTCTCTCCAAGTTTCTCCCTTCCCTTGAGCACAGGTAACTCAATCACGCAAGCACACTCAGCAATCGTCACTCCTACTCGCTCTGCAACCAAAAAAAGCACCATTTAGAAAATAAAAGAGTTTGTTTTTTTTTTTTGTTTATTACAAGGAAAAGGCAGAGCATATTAATCAAAAAAAGGTGGTTGGAGTTAGTAACCAAGTAGTCGGATAGCAGCAGCGAGAGTGCCACCAGTGGCAATGAGGTCATCAATGATGATAGCACGCTCACCAGGCTCAACCGCACCTACATGCATCTCTATCTTATCTGTTCCATACTCCAACGAATACTCCTCCGATATAACCTTCCCTGTTTCATGAAGAAACCACCACATAGCATTTAGCAGCATTCTTTTTAGAAATTAATTAATTCCAACTGATAATAAACAAGAAATGCGACGACGTCCACGTGATGCTACTTCTCAATGACTCAACAAACATCTTTCTCGTAGTTGGTCAAGTTTTTCATCGATATATATATATAACAAAGACGAACAGCCACTTAGGCTGCTGTAAAAAAAAACCATGAAGTAGTAACTCTAAATCAAAATAGCAAGGAAAGAAGCCATTTAAATAAACAACATTCACATAGTAAGAGGGCCCTTTTGAAGTAGTAACTCTAAATCAAAATAGCAAGGAAGTAGTAAGAGATACCGGGTAGCTTCTTGGGCTTCCTCATGGGAACAAATTTGGCACCAATAGCCAACGCAATAGGAGGGCCAAAAATGAAACCTCTTGCTTCCACACCTGGGACCATTTCAATCAACAATTTCTATTACATACCAAAAGGAATCAACTTTCACCATAAATAAGGGGCCTCATTGGAAACAGAACCGTAAGTTAATTAGGGTATGAAAGAGTTAGAGTTACCTGCAACAACAGAAATGCCTTTGCCTTTGTACCTTTCAACAAAAATATCAATGGTGTCCTTAAAGGCCTCCGTGTCCAGAAGCAGCGTGGTTATGTCCTGAAACATGATCCCTGTTCACAAGTTTCCAATTCCATAAGAGCAGATCAAGATTTAAAACTAGTGACATCCTTATAAGTAAAAATTGAAAAGCTTCTTTTTTTTTTTTTGTAGAGAGAAAGGGAGACCTGGTTTAGGGAAGTCAGGGATGACTCTAATGGAAGAGGCGATTTTGGGGATTCTCGGATCTTGCACATCTTCTTCTTTGGTTGCCATTTCAATTAGCTGCTACTGTAATACACCAAAAGAATCGGGGAACGATGAAAGGCTTCGTTTTAGATGCAACACACAGACACAGACCTAGTGACACAAAATTATTTACCTATTTATCCATCTAATTTTCACGCTTTGACGGAATTGCCCCCACCCACCAAAATCTTCCTTTTTTTCTTTGGCTAAAGGGAACCAAAAAAAAGTTTGGGAAGTAAAAACTGATGGGGTATTTGGATACTGATGGTCTAAACAGATTTAACAACATTATTGGGAGGGTTCTTGCATTTGTTTCTTAAAAAATATATATATGTATGTATATATTTTCTAAGAAATAAATGCAAGAACACTCCCAATAATATTGCCCTAAGTGCATGTTCAAATATGATTTTTTTTTCTTTTGAAACATTTCTAAACAGAGAAATTCTTTACGATAATCTTTTTTAAGCGGAAAAAAAATTATTAAAAAAAGTTTAATTAGAGAATAAATATACACTTATCTCCATAAAATTAAGTTAATCTAGAGAATAACTAATCTAGAAATAGGATTTATATTTAAAGAGTTGAATTAGGATTTAGATTAACTAGCTTGTTTGTCATCTAGAATTCAAATTTTGATCTAAGGAGTTGAGATCAAAATTTTTAAATATTCAGATTAAAAATTGTAAATATTTAAAGACTAACTAATCTAGAATTTGAATTTAGATCTAAGGCGTTGAGATTAAAATTTGTAAAAAAAATAAAAAATATAATAAATCTGTAAATATATTTTAAATAGATTTAAAAAGTATTTTCGAATTTTCAGAAATATTTTTGAGAAAAAAAATATTTTTTATAAAAATATTTGAATTTGAAAACATATAATTTTAATAATTTATATACTTTTAATTATTTATATTTATATATTTATAAAGAAATGAAGTAGAAAAATCTTTTCTCTTTAACAAAATACTTTTGGTCACTTTTTCTTTGGAGTTTATTTTGTGAAAAAACACTTAAAAATTGGTTATTTAAGAGAATTACCATTCTAAGTATGACTTCATCCAAAATAAAATTCTAATCAACTAGATTATTTATGAAGTTCAATTAATTAATAAATAAGAAGTGTCAAAAAGAAAATTTTATATTGCTAATACTTTGTAATCGATTTTGACCTAAAATCTTAAGTTATTTGGATATCATCTGACTAACCGGTTAAACATATTTTTTATTTCACATAAAATTAGCTTTAATCTGTTTTAACTGCGCTTTGTATATAAATTAGTATCTGATCAAACCTATTATATTTTGAATAGTTGACAAACGAATTTTCGAGTCTATGCACACCTAATTTATTGGTGGCTTTTGTTTCTTGGTCAAAGGTGGCTAGTTTTTGTTTTAATATTCTTTCACATATACAGCACATGTCATAAACTTCATTTACACTTGGAAACACATACACTCAATAGAAAATGACATAAAATCAACAAGTTCAAATGTGTGTCTTTCTACACCATGTTTATACTGATCATCTATACTATTAAAACTCAAAGTCATTTTTTAAAGTGTTTTTCTATTTTAACAGTATTTACAGATCCGTGTTACTGTAATATTTTAAACCTATGCTTTTTATTAAATCTATCTAATTGTAAATTTTTAGCATGCTTTTAGTTAATACTAGGTGTTTTACCCGCACATGCGGGCTTAATTATCTTTAAATCTATTTAAAAATCATCAAAATAAATGATATTTGTATCCAAAAAATTTAACCTAAAACATTATTTTTTTTTTACATGATAAATTTATTCACAAATTAAAAAAATATACTTCTTCCTTTTAAACTTTTAAAAATCTAAAGTCTATTTCCTTTCTTCTTAATTAATAAAAATATAGAAATCTATCTTTCAATTTGAAAAATTGAATCGATAAATATACATTCAAAAAAGGATCTAACAAAAAGAATAATATTAGTTTAGATAATAATACAATTAAAATTTATTTTTGCCAAAGACGTTTTTTTTTTTGTTTTTGAATCATTTTTTCTTTTATTATGATAAATTCATGTTTAAGGATTACTTATATATAAAAATATAAAAAATAAATTTAATTTAACATATGAGCTTAGAGGCGAAAATAACTTCACAAATATATATATCATTATATTATATTATTATATTCTTTTAATTTTTTTTACATGATAAATTTATTCACTAATTAAAAAAAATATACTTCTTCCTTTTAAACTTTAAAAAATCTAAAGTCTATTTCCTTTCTTCTTAATTAATAAAAATATAGAAATCTATCTTTCAATTTGAAAAATTGAATCGATAAATATACATTCAAAAATGGATCTAACAAAAAGAATAATATTAGTTTAGATAATAATACAATTAATATTTATTTTTGCCAAATACGTTTTTTTTTTTTGAATGATTTTTTATTTATTATGATAAATTCATGTTAATTATTACTTATATATAAAAATATAAAAATAAATTTAATTTAACCTGTGAGCTCAGAGGCAAAAATAACTTCACAAATATATATATATATATCATTATATTATATTATAATATTCTTTTAATTTGAAAATAATTACATATTATAATTTTTTAAAATTTTTTATTTTCAGTTATATACAATTAAAGTTTTTACTTAATTAATATTTATTTATGTATTTTATGTTTTTGAAATTTTGTTATTAAATATATTTTCCAGATAACAACACAATATATATAGGAATTATCCTTTTATAAATATATATTTAGATTATGGATAATTCTTATCATTATTATTAATTTAAATTATTTATCTAATCAAATAAATATTAAATTCATTTTTATTATTGGCTGATTTATATATTTATTCATTAAGGGTAATATCGATATTAATCGCTCTAACTTTTAACGTGAGAGTTACGTTGCGAAAAATCAGTTCTCAAATAATAGTATAGATTGCCGTAAAAAGTGTAACCCTAAAACGACGATGATTACAACTTCTCCAATTAATAAAGAAAATACAGATTTTCAAGATCTTAGAGATTTTCGAGGTTTCAGTTGAGATGTCTACTGGAATCTACAATGATATTGAGATTCCCATGGTGGTGTCTTTCAAGATCAAGTAATATTGGAGCAAAACCAAGAAGATGAGAGATTTTTGATGAGACTTACAATTTGGAGACAAGAACTCATCGTAGAGGTGAAAATCAGAGTCCCTAGGATTTAGGAAAGAAATCTCGTCTGATAAATAGTTAGTTAAAGGAACGTGGTATATAATCGTAGGTTAACAAAAGATTTGAGGAACATTTGCTTTGAAGGGGATTTTGATAAACGAGTCAAGGAATTATCCATCATCATATCATTGAGGTTAGTGATGCTATCGCTTTTGACTTTATTGGTGATTTTGTTGGAAATGAATAAAGTGATTGATTGCTTATAGAATTTAGGGCTATATTTTCAACAAAAAGGGAATTTGGGTTTCTAATGGTAGTGTCAGTGATTTAGGGTGGAATCTCAATGATTAAATGGGTTCTGAATGGTTCGGACTACGGACATGTAGAAGGAACTTATCAACTCTGCATGCCAAGATAGAAGGCCTACTGTGGGCAGTCTCATGTATGAGAGATTTGAGGATGATTTCGATACGGACTGAGACTGACCTCGGATCTAGTGGAAATGTCCAATAGATCGGAGGATTGGCCGGCTTTCGCGACAGAGATCGAGGTGTTTCAGCGACTACGGGAGGACTTCGAGGATGTGAGTCTGTCTCATATTCCATGGAGTAGAAATGAACGAGCGGATGCATTAGCTAAAGAAGCAAGGAGTAGAGACTATTTATTTTCCCATATAGATCAGACCCGGCCAGACGAAGTTTCTCCTCGGAGAATCGACTCGACTGGTCACCACTTGATCTAGAGTAAATGGACGGCTGACAAAAAAAAAAAAAACTAGCATGTTATTTGCAAGGTACTAAATTATGAATTATCACACAATCCCACTCGACCAGAAAGTACGAATTCAGGTTAGAGGCTAACTCTCATCAAAGTTAAGGTCCTAAGGACATGTTTCTAATATTATTATGTTTGGACACATAGTCACCAACCACAAAATACATGGCAATACTATCAAGTTTCCAGCCACATTATTGTCTTCCACAAGGATTGAGGACCATGGCCATTCAAAATTTTAAGTGTTTGTTAAATGGCCATCCAAAACAGAAGACTATTTTTTGAGGCACCCTTATTTTTTAAAAATATTTACAAATTGCTATCACTGTATTAATCAAAACTTATACTTTTTGTTTAAGATATTTTCTACCAACCTTTTTGTGTTATTAAAATAAATATATTTAATATTTACTTGATTAGATATAGCTACTATTTACGAACAATATTTTGCTCCCTATTAATTAGCCTAATACCTATTTTTTGTTACTAAATGCATCGTTGGTTGAAATCTTATATTCTTATTTATAGTATTTATTTTAAAAAGTGAATCTTTGTTTATCAAGTAACAATAGCTATTTCCCATCTTACATAAAATAAAGTTTTATCATTAAACTTCTTAAATTTTTGGTGACATTTCAAATGAAATAAATACATAAAACTGTGATTCGTTCAACATATATATATATATATATATATATATATATGTGTGTGTGTGTGTGTGTATGTTGTCAACTAATCCAAATTTTATGCATAATTTTTTTTTTGAATGTAAGAATTTGAAATGGATATTTTAACCTATTATTAATATACATAAATCCATACCTAACATATTCATTCTACATCACGGGTTTTATAAAAGAAAATAAAGTTTGAGTCTAAATAAAAAATATAATCTCTATAATATTATTTGAGAAGTCAGTTTCCTACGTGGCGCGCTCACGTTAACTCTCACGATGGTTGATTACATAGATACCCTTAATGAATTGTTAGATTTTAAGATTATTATTATTTTATTTATTTAGTTTCTTTTTTATCTTTTTCTAAATAACATATATAATAAAAAGGAAATATTTCTAAATTTTTAAAACAAATTTTTAAACGAAAATATATGTATATAACATGACTTTATTAAAAAAGAAAGTTCACAAAATAGTAATACCC